GAAAAGTAACTCAGCCCAACTCAGACAACTTACTAGGGTTATATTCGTAAAAATGTCTTCTGTTTTTTTGTTTGGTCACAGAGGACTATATTGTAATTTCATAGCCCTTTTAGGTTAGATTTGCATTTGATTCAAGTTGGGGTCTAGTATTGGGGTTAAAACCAAGTTGTGGGTTAGTTTTGGCAAAAACCCCTAAAATATTTTGATAAGGGAAAATTATAATCATCTAATTATAGACATTTGTAAGTGATATAGATTTAGATTTAATAAAATTGAATTGTTTTCAAGATAGATGAGTGAATGTAAGTTAGTCATGATATTCTTTGGTTTAGGGTTTGCTAACTATGTTGTGGTATTGTATGTGTTTTTAGTTTTTAGGGTTAGATTTTGGAATCTTAACATTAATTTTATTTTCTAAAAGTAAATTTTAGCTATATGTGTTTATTTTTGTGTAAATTAAACATTTATAAGTTTAATTTAAGTTTAATAAAGTCTTTGTATGTGATTTAGTTATATACATATATTTGTTTTTCGGGTTATGGAAGACTTATGAAGACTTCTGGGAAAGTCTACTCAGCCTTTATTAAGTTTAGCGTCTAGAGAAGTACAAAAGTATTCTAGTGTATTTTTTTCAGAAGACTTACTGGAAATTCTGCCAAACCGGAGCAAACCGTAATTTTTACCTTCAATTTGAACAAAATCGGAAATAGTTACATTAAACCTAACCAGATACTAACCGGACATATAAATACCTTTTTCACACTTTGTGATTAAAAAGACGAAACCCTAGCCGTCTATCTATCAGATGCAATTTTGTAGGCTATTTCCGGTGAATCTCATTTCTCCGTCTTACTCACTGTCGGTAAGCTACTTTCTGGTGAATACGTTTATTCTTCATTGGTGTAGAGTATCTTAGTAGACTAAGTTAACCCGAGTCTTTTATTTGCAGATCTGAAATTATTTGCGTTTCGTTTTTTCGCCTCTGCCGCCGGCAAGCTCTTCTTCTTTGCTGTCGACTCTTTGTTTTTCGAGTCTTTGTTTTTTGACACTATGCTGACTTCATCTTTCCCGTCGAGTTTTTCAGATATTTAACCACTTTTCTTCAGCACCCATAACTTTGCTGCTTTGGACTGTAAACTTTGTCGGTTCTTAGTGTAAGTTCATCCATTTGTTTGATTTGTAATCCTTTTACGTATTAGGATTAACACAATTTTCAGATATGTATCAGATGATTAGGGTTCTACTGGAAAACTTAAGAAGACTACTGGAAGACCTACTTAATATCTTCCAGTAAGTCTTCCAAAGTCAAAACTTTGGAAGACTTACTGGAAGACTTTAAGTATGTCTTCTGAGGTCTTTGAAGGTCTTTCGAGGTCTTGCAGTAGGTCTTCCAAAATCCTCTTAAGTCTTTCGAGATCTTCCCGTAGGTCTTCTTAAGTTTTACAGCACATGAAGTTAGTTTATTACTCTTTTTCTGTTTTGTTTGTGTTTGAAATGTTGGTTTTTCATTACTTTTCAGAATTGGAATGGATTTACCAGAACTCCGCATAGAGTATTTACCTTAGGGGAGGAGCCACATCCACTGAAAAGCATAAACTATCATACTGATGACAAGAAGTTGTTTGCGGCTGTAAAAGAAGCTCTTTATGATGATTAGTGGAAGGAGCTCTAGGAGTCAAGGTTGGGAGTGTTCATCAAGTTCATGGAGCTTTCTTTTGATTGGGCATCAAGGCTGGTTCACTTTATGCTGTGTTACCAGCTTGACATCAAGAAGAAGTATGAGCTTTGGTGTCTCGTTGGTCCATAATCGGTTAGGTTTTCACTGATAGAGTTTGAATACCTCACTGGTCTGAACTGCGATTACATTGAGTACATGGAAAATCTGAAGGATGAGGTTACAGATGAGATGGTTGTTTTCTGGCAGAAGAAGGGTGTTGATGTCGAAGCTGGTTCAAGTGCTAATTAAATAATAGCAGCAAGTAAGAAATGCCAAGAGTGTTCTCGGGATGATCGCATGCGGCTGGGATACCTAGCCATCTAAGCTAGCTACATTGAAGGGAGAAAGAGCTCATCTGCTACATGGGTTAGTCTTGCAAGGCTAGTGATGGACTTAGAAGAATTTAAGAATTTTCCATGGGGGAGAGTGGCATTGAAGGTGCTGATGGACTCTTTGAGGAAGAAAGATATTACAAAGAGTTATACTGTTGATGGCTTTATACAAGTTCTCAAGGTGTGATCAACTTCTCTCTGCCAGACTTAGCTGCTGCGAAGGGAAATCCCTTACGAAACAAACCGAATACACCTTTGCTGGCTTACAAGGGTGGCAAAGGACATATTTTTTTTTTAAAATGTGGTATCAGCACTCATGTAATTATAATAATTCTCAAATAGTATGATATTGATTATCCTCTCACATATCTTACTTGAGTTAATTTATTTATTGTAGACTCGTGTGAACACCTACATTGTGAAGGCCTCTGATGAAATGTTCCCAAAATGGGACAATGATGTAGATAATACGAAGGCTGATAACATAGTGAAGGTCATGTTTGAGGAAAAAGGTCATTGGAAGTGGACCATGGATTGTTGGCCACACGCTGCTACTAACCTGTGGACTAGACCAAAGGTTATGTATGTGAATCATGTGAAGGTAGAAAAAGGAAGACCTCGGAAGAGAGCTTGTACAGAGGCTCGTACAGATTATGCTTCTGGTCCTTTTATTGCTTCTACTCCTGCTTCTGGCAGTTCGGTAAGAAAGAAGAGAGCGAAAAGCTTGAAGGCCCTCGAGAAAGTTATGACTGATGGGTTTGGGCAGTGCTTGAAGGATATGAAGGCTTTTGGGGATAGGATGGACGCTGTGGAGAAAGTGGTTGGAATCACCAAAAAAGCGACTGCATCAAATGATCTCCAACTCACTCTTCCAGACTCGCCTGAACGTAGGCCCGATCTCAGGGTTAGTACCCAAACCTCTTCCAAAATCACAATGCATAGAAAAACTAGGAAGAGTAGTAAGAAAATAATTGAAAGTTGTATGTTCTCCATTGGTTAATGAAAATTCTGGATCTTGTTTTTTATGGATCTTTGGTTAATGACAATTTTGCTTCGATTTTTTTTTCTGGATCTTTGGTTAATGACAATTTTGTTCTGATTCCTTGGATTATGTGAATTATATTTGGATTGGTAGTTTAATGTTATTTATTATGTATTGATTTTGACATGATTCAGTACATCGAAATTGCAGAGTGAGAGTGTGATGGGGGCGAAAGCAGGAAGTGGTAAAAATATACAAGATGACGTCCAAGATCCCAAAGAGAAGGAGAGTTCTTCCAAAGAGCTTAACGAGATTGAGAGTTCTTCCAAAGAGCTGAATGAAAATGAGAATTCTTCCAAAGAGCTGAAAAAGAATAAGAATTCTTCCAAAAGAGCTGAGTGTTGTCTTGTTAGACAAACAAAAAGAAACGACATCAGATTTAAAAGTGGCAGAAAAAAGAAAAGAGACAAAAAAAGCTGTTGTTCTGGCAGTGTGTCGGGGAAAGAGTGATCGAAAAAGGAAGCTTGCGTCCTCACTGTAATATACTTTTGTGGGAAATACCATTGCCAAAGTGATCATTCCAAACAAGCGGATTGGTCATGGATATGACCCATTTGCACTCATTGACAAAAAGAAGACAAAAGTGCTTGTTGATTGGTTGAAACATGATCTGTAAGTTCTAATTTCCTATAGAACCCTGCAGTAGTCTACAAAAGTAAATGATTGTTGACCTACTTTTGCTATTTACAGGAACTTTATTAAATGTATAGCCATCAGACTACGAGGATGTCCAAGCTACTGGTATCACTACGTCAGAGGGAGCTTAGGATGGCTGAAGGATTATATAATTTTCTAAACCCTACTCCTCGGGAAGTCTTCTATAATTAAGTATTCTAATGTCTTCTAGTTAGAAGACTTATAATTATGTCTCCCGTGAAGTCTTCTAACCATAAGACATTGAAAGACTTAATTATACAAGTCTGTTATAATTAAGTCTTCTAATGTCTTCTGGTTAGAAGACTTATAATTATGTCTTCTGGGAAGTCTTCTACCTAGAAGACATTGAAAGATTTATTAAGTATAGAACTCTACTATAATTAAATTTTCTAATGTTATAATTATGTCTTTTACGAAGTCTTCTAACTTGTTATGTTTTTATATGCAGAATATGGATACGTTTGTGTATTTACTAAGGCAGTGGTATGCCAAGAATCCCGAACATTTTAGGAGCGGCAAAATGTGCTTTCTTGATCTTGCGTTTGGGAGGATGTGGCAGGATAATTATGCTATTTTTAAGAAGTCCGAGTCCAATGTCAACGACTTAGGAAGAATCCTACCTGGCGGGTCGTGGTCACTTTATGCAGGTAAAGTACCAGCATTTTACCAATCTAATAATATTTGGGGGATAGATGTGGATCACATATATGCACCCCTGAACTACAACAACGACCATTGGATACCGATCCCCAAGAAACACATAGTCATCTGGGACAGCACCGTGAAGCATATTAATCCAGAGTAGCTCCGAGTGCTAATTGAGTATTTTGTGACAATGTTGTCTTATCTACATGTTGAGTGCTTCCCCGAAGAAGATCGTTTCAAGTACACACTAGAGCCATTCACATATGGGAGGTGACTGCTGGAGTACCTCAGGTACGAGCTGGTGATTATGGTGTCTTCGCTTTGAAGTACATTGAATGTCATGTTCTTGGCATGACATAATTTCTTCCTGCCGCCTTTTGTGATAAAAACATGAAGGCTGTTAGGGAGAAGATGCAAGCGATATATTTGAAGAGATTCTGTGAGGGATAAAACTCACTTTCCTGATTTAGGTTAGGTTTAAATTGGAGAAAAGATAATCGTGGGCTGGATCCTGTAAAAACTTAAAGAATGAATATGACTTGTATTGATGTTTCTGATAAAAGAAGATTACAAATGTTTTGATCTGAGGTGACAAAGAAATAAAGGAATGTTTTCATAGTATATGAATGTGTGAATAATAATGAATCAAAATCTGGACCCCTTGCTTCGATCTCCCCCTCCTCTTTTATAGCTCGCGATCATGTTTCAACGACCTCAGCTAACCTCCGAGATTTGCTCCGTGAGTTGAGGGATTCTCAACAGTCTCCCTTTGACCGGGTCCTGCGCATCCATCCTGAGCTACTTACTAGCTTTCAGTGAATGAGGTCCGGAGTTCTCTTCCGTGACCTGTTTTATTAATCTTTCTTTCCTGAGCTAAATAGCCTCCGGCTTCTTCTCAACTCCTTTCTTAAAGCTTAACTGCTAATGGGCTTATAATAACCCATTATCAATCCTTATTATTTAAGCCTGTTAATTTCAGCTAACGGGCCGTATTTGGGGCCGACAGTTACCCCCAGCTTTCGAGAAAAGATGCTTTTTCTCGTAAGCTAAACCTAGCCGCCGAATCTCAACCTTTTCGTTGAGATAATGATTACTCGTGATCTTTTTTCGAGGATATCTCTTATCCGATCCAACGGATATTATTGCCTCTAACGTAATCGACGGCTCAGATTAAATTAATTTGAAATAATTATCCCCGATTTTCGAGCAATTACGGTATATAAAGCTGCACACATTAACTGCAACTCTACCCATCTCCTTCACGTTTCGATTCATTTTTCCAGGTAACTTCCTCCGGCTCCTTATTTTACCTTCTTTCGCTCATTATTATTATTATTTTTTTGTTAAACTTTGGAGTAGTTCTCCTAAAAACTGTTTCCCCCAGAGACTTTGATCTATTAGTTCGATCTTCCTTTTTCCTTTTTTATCCCTTTTCGGTTTCTTTCGTCGTTTTTGCTATGACCCGACAAAAAGAAGGTTCCGGAGAGACATGAATCTCTGCTACAGGTGCTCAGCTTATGAAGGTGAAGCAAGAAGTTGGTGAAAGCATGAGGAAGACCGAGAGGAAGAAGAAGACTAAGGATTCGATAGCCTAGAGAGTTTCCAAGCGAACGAAAAAGATCGGAGGCTCCAGTGGGAGTGCTCCTTCCGGATCTCATCCGCCCTCTGTATTAAAGAGCCAAGAGATTGTGAACCTTATGGTTCAGGCCCAAGGTCGGAGGGAATTGGCCAGGGCTTGTAAACCCGAGGAAACCCCCGAGACGGCTCCGGAGGTTTGGTTCTGCGTTCACGAGAACTATATTTCCAAGAGCCATCTTAGGTTTCCCCTTCATGACCTCCTGTTAGACCTCCTCGATCATTATCGACTAGCCCTTTCCCAACTTTGTCCCTCAGTCATTCGAGTGATAAACGGTTTCATCACTAGATCCAAAGAAGAGGGAGTTGCTACCGCGCTTAGCTCCTTAATGAGCCTGTTTTCGATAAAGGACAGTGCTTCCAAGGATGGTGGTAGCGGGACCTATTACCTTCCTTGTCGTCCTAGGTTGAGTATTTTCAAATTTTCTAGCAGTGATGATGACTGGAGAAGGAAGTATTTTTACTTTAAAATTGATCCCTTGACGGTTCTAGCGGGTCGTACCCTTAGGACTTCTTGGTCCGATGTGTCCGGTCAGGATCTATTAGGAATGTGTTTGACGGAGGGAGCTGGTTCGACGGAGCTCAGGTAAGGTCCCAATACGCTTCGTTTATAAGGGATAGATTCCATTATGCAGTATCTTGCGCTTATTGCTTTAAGTTTTCGAGCTTCCCATTTATGGGGGGGGGGACCTTGCCCTCCGAAATATACTGCATGATTGGGATTCTCCAGTCCTCTCTTCCTATGATTTTATCGTGAAGGGATGAAGGAGGTCCCTGTGCTGGATCAGGTTCCCGGGTGTTGTTACGGCAGGAGGTCGTGCCCCCGGGGGTATTCCTTCGGTTAGATTCACTGGAGCCTAAATCTGGAGGAATATTTTCAGGTATGTCGTTAACTTCCGGGGTCGGGATCGTGTCTTCGGCTGAAGTTTCAGGTTCAGGGGAATATCTCGTCCTGCGAGTGTTTACTCTGAAGACAAGTGGGCTTGGAGGCTGGGTCGTGCCCCCAAAAGTGTGCTTTTTGAATTTGCGAGTTTTGGTTTTCGGGAACCAGAATGTTGTTAAAACTTGGGTTGCTGCTGGCTCGGAGCAGTTACTTTCTGTTTGCTCTTTCGGTTTGCTATCGATCTCGGCTTTGGTAGCTATGTCGATGCTTGGTTTTTCAATTCCCTCTGATTCGTTTTACTAGGGGGTCTGATGTGGATGCTAATGCAGCCAACGCATCTGCTGAGGAGTTCTCTCCTCGTGGGATTCTTGTTAGCTCGAACTTGCTGAACTGTTTAGTGAGGCTTTGTACGACTTCGAGGTATGCCCCCATTCTTTCGTCCCTTGTTTCGTACTCCCCATGGAACTGGCTAACTACCAGCTATGAGTCACTGTAGGCATTTAGCTCTCGGATTCCGAGGCTTAGGGCGAGTCTTAATCCTGCGATTAGCGCTTCGTATTCGGCCTCATTATTTGAAGCGTTAAATCCGAGCCTGTAGGATTGCTCGATGGTTTCTCCGGCTGAAGAGGTCAGCCTTAGACCGATTCCGGAACCTTGTTTTTATGAGGCTCCGTCGACATACAGGCTCCATTCCGGAGCTTCAGCTCTCGGGTCTAGTTGTTCAGACGACATCTCGATGATGAAATCGGCGAGGACCTGAGCTTTTATGGCTGCTCGGGGTCTATACTCGATGTCGTATTCGCTAAGTTCTATGGCCCACTTAGCTAATCTTCCTGATTGGCTAGGACTGTGCATAATCGTGCGTATTGGCTGTGAGGTCATTACCACGATCGAGTGTGATTGGAAGTAAGGTCGTAGCTTTCTGGCAACTGTTACGACTGCCAGAGCTAACTTTTCCATGGTAGGGTATCTGGTCTTGGTGTCTATTAGACTTTTGCTTGTGTAATAGACAGGTCTTTGCTCGTTTTGCTCCTCTCGTACCAGAACGCCGCTAACTGCAGCAGTTGATACGGCGAGGTATAGGTACAGGGGTTCTCTTGTTACTGGGTTGGATAGGATCGGAGGCTCGGAGAGGTAAGCTTTCAATTGTTTGAAGGCTTCCTCGCATTTCTCGTCCCATAGAAACTTCTTATTGTTTTTAGAAGTTTGTGGAACGGGAGGCATTCGTCCAGTCAGTCTTTGTATGGAGATATAAATCGGTTCAAAGCGGCGATTCGTCCAGTCAGTCTTTGTACCTCCCTGGTTGTCTTAGGTGACGGCATTTCCAGGAAGGTCACTATATGTTTAGGGTTGGCTTCGATACCTCTCTCGGTTACGAGGTAACCGAGAAATTTGCCCGAGGGAACTCCGAAGGTGCATTTTGCGGGGTTTAGTTTCATATCATATTTGTTGAGGATATCGAAGCATTCTTTTAGGTGGGAGATGTGATTTTCCCCAGCTGAGGATTTAACCAGCATATCGCCGATGTATACCTTCATGGTTTTTCCGAGCTGTCCGGCGAACATTTTGTTCACAAGCCTTTGGTAGGTAGCTCCCGCGTTTTTTAATCCGAATGGCATTACCTTGTAACAGTAGGTTCCGCGTTCGGTTATGAACCCAGTTTTTTCTTGATCTTCGGGATTTATCATGATTTGCTTATACCCCGAGAAGGCATCCATAAAGGACAAGAGCTGATGGCCAGCTGTCGCCTCAACGAGGCGATCGATGTGAGGTAACAAGAAGCTATCTTTAGGGCAAGCCTTGTTTAGGTCGGTGAACTCTACACAGGTTCTCCACTTCCCGTTTTTCTTTTTCACTACTACGGGGTTAGCCAGCAAATTGGGGTAATGTACTTCTCGGATGGACCATACTTTCGTGAGTCGATCTACTTCGTCGTTGAAGGCTTGG